TCCTTACTTACATACACACATATATGACAGTCGCTATCCCCAAATTGTCTTATGTCAAAGCGTGTCAGTGTTAAAGACATTAACTTCAAGGTTTAAAGATCAAAGCGGTGTGTTGGAATTACTTTCCTGTTCTTAAAAACAACATCAGCAACAACAAAACTCAAGCATTTGTGCATCGATAGGAATAACATGACCTTTATCCCCACATCTTCCAACATCATTGTGAGGGAGGTTGCATTTTGTATTCCAGTTCAGCTAACATTTGAGTGGCTATTCCATGCCAGGTCTGCTGTGCTGGCCACTCTGACAGCCATCTTCTTTAACCCTAAAGACATCCTGCAAAGTAGATATTATGTTCATCACAGTTGAGAAAATCAATGCTCAAAGAGAGCAAGTAGAGTCCTTTGGCTTTCAAGTCTTCCTCTGAGATGCAAAAAACTGGTTGCCAGAAGGGTTTTAAGGAATTTGACAAATGATGGGCTTCTGAGACTCACACAGTGAGTTTGGACTAAAAACCAGGTTTTCCAATTCCCAGTCCAACTTCTTTCGCCACATTACAGCATTGCCACCCAAAGCGTTGGGTTTTCCCAAGAGGTGTTTGGATGGGATTCCAAGCCAGCGAGATGCAAATAGGTCTGACCCACATTCCAGCTCTTGGATAAATAAAAACTCCTAAAGGGCAGCGCCCATTTTGTGTGCTTAATTTGAGAGCCCCACTGTGGATAGTCAATCAGTATTGAACAACTATAGGTACATTTGCCAAGGACTAACAGCATGTTCTCAATTTTAGCAATTGGAATACTGTGGAGGAACCTCATAAAGGTGCTGAAAGCCTGGATCAAGTAGTCATAAATTTCTAAGAGTTAAAAAAAAAAAGCTCTGAAGTCATCTAATTAAACTCTAATTTTATAAATAAGATCCTGAGAAATTAAAATAACGTGCACAAGGGTTTGACACCAGTCGGCAACAGACCCTTTTCTGTCTCCCAGTTCTATTTGTGTCGTATGGTATTGTGAGATAGTTTTTAGGACTGTAACATGTTGTAAGCTCAAGTTGGATTGGCTGGTTATAGAGTCAAAAGTGATAATAAAATGGCTCTCAGATTTAATTTTTCCTTATCCCGCTGACCAATTGACCTCTAAGGAAATCTCCCTTGCTGGCTTTCAAATTCAACCAAGTTGGTTATTATTCCTCAACAAGTGTTTCATTAGTTTTGGCCTCCTGAACTTCTCTCCTGGCATTTCTCCCTATCTGCTAGCCCTCGAAGCTCTCTGTACTATTCTCTATATAGTTCTCCTCCTCCAAGAAGGCTTCTCTGATTACTCTTCTTCCATCAATGTTTATCTTTGATTTGCATAATATTTACATTTAATTTGTTCCTACCTATCAGTAGAAACGATTTGCTGATTGCCTGGATGTTTTTTATATCCCCAAAGAACAGGATCAATTGATTTTACTGTTTTTCTTTTTTATGGTACCTAAGACAATGCTGTGCTCCAATGAGCACCAAATATTTGTTAAAGGTACAAATCATGTTAATTAACTTTGCTACAAAAGGGAGACTTCATTCTTGATAGAAAATGAAATTAAGATAACTTTTACCTTGCTATATTTTTCTGATTTCTCAAAGACTAATTAGTGAGTCACGTGCACCTAAGTTTGGTAGTCTAGCAAAAAATTAGTTTAGTGGTGGATATTCTACCAGAATATTAGTCCAGTGGTTCTCAACCCTGGCTGTTCATTTGAATCAGCCAGGAAGCTTTTAAAACTACCAATACCCAGGCCTCACCACAGATCAACTGAATCAGAATCCTTGCAGGTATGCCCAAGCAATGATTTGCATGTATCATATTGATATTTTGATTTGCACACATTGATATGTACAACCTGACTCTCATTAACAGATTTGTCTCAAGAATGAGCGTGTTCAAATGTGGTTTTGTTGTTGTCCTTAGAATCACAAAATTTTAGAACTGAGAGAGAACCAAGATTCTATCTGGATCAGTCCCTTTATTTTACAGCTGAGGACACCATGGCTTAAGAGAGATTGAGAGAGTAGCCTCACATAGTGGCACAGTGGTTGTTGAGTGACAGTTTGTATCTTGAATTAGCGAAATTCTCTGAACTCCAGTTCTGGAGCTGTAGCGACTAGACCAAGCTGTTTAGTTTTTTAATTTCTGCTTTATTCTAAAGAAAATGTATAAAAAGTATTACATGTGAAATATTTGGATTCTAAAAGCTGTTAGCACCAGGTGCTCCTTTAAGACCCTCAGTTTGGCACATTCCAACTAGTCCATTGTCACGGCAGAGGAAATGCCACCGCAGGATATATCAAAGTCGAAAATAAATGACTAGTAACTATTTGCAGGGTTTTTTCATTGGCCCTGACCTATAAGTTCATAACATTTTATGCTATCAGAGCCCAGAGTGTTTCTAGCCCTTAACTATACCACTTACTAGCACACTTATTGCTTATGAGCAAGCTAATCAACACACTGAACTTCCCTTTTCTTTCTAAAAAGGAAGATAGTGCCTGTCCTACTGACCTTGCATTTTTCAGCTATTACAAGGATTAAATCAGATGATCTACGTGGAGATATTTTGAGAACAGTAAAGCACTATTCATATATATGTACAGAATTATATTACTACATCTCAGAGCAGTGACTTGTGAATAAATATTTGTTGCTTTGATTACCCAGGCTCTACATCCTAATTCCTTGGCACCAAGCCACACAAGAATCAACAGGAACTGGAGTTACCGCTGGACCAGAGACTCTAGTCACTGAAAGTATCACATAACTAAATATTCAGGGAGGTAAAGTGATGTAGTGACCCAGGATTTAGCTAGTCTAGGCTCTAGTCCTGGAGTCTGCTTTTAACTATTGATTTTGGACAAGTCATTTAATTTTTCTGGGACCAGAGTCTCGTCAGTGGTCAAAGGATGACTTGAATTAGAGTCAAAGATCCTTTTGATTTATAAAATCAGAATATTGGTGCTTAATTAAGATTTACTAAAGTACAATTTCCCAAGCCATTAATTCATGTGGTTTCACATTTTTAAAATCTCTTTTTGGAAGTACGGGGTTGGAGCCTAAAAACATAGCCTATTTCTGGTAAACAGGCATTTCAAACATATGTGTATAAGACCCTCTTTAAAAGAAACCTCTACTCAGATACTTTATGCTTGTTAGTATCCTGCGCAGGAGCCCTTCCTCCAAAAATAAATACATGGTTACCCAAAAAGCACGTAGTACAGTACTGGACAGAGAGTAAGCACCCGAATATTTTACGTTACAGCTCTCAGTGTGAGTCCCAGTTGGTGTAATTTAACTAATCTGAGCCTGATTTCCTATATGTAAATGGGAACAATACCTTCCTCAATGATCCACTGAGATGGTGTATATTAAAATGTTTTGTAAATGATTAAAAAAATAACTGGAAGATATTACTATTACCTAAGGAATACAGCTTACTAACACCGTGACCTTTCCATGAACGTGCTTTGTAAAGAGATAGATTAAAATCTTTCTGACTTTATTATGGACACAGCACTTACCCCAATACCTGGCTCAACAAATATGCTCAATAAAGGTTTGCTGTGTGAAAAGTCTAATCCACAGAAAGACCAAAAGCTCCATGAGCTCAGATTGCATACTTGTTTTTATTTCTAAGTTCTCAGAGCCTAGCACAATGTCTGACACATAGAAAAAGAACCCCTCTAATTCCTCTTTAGCACAGCTCAAGAGGGAGAGGCGAACAGGGCTGGCATGAAAGATGATTCTGGTAAAGGCTGCTTGGAATGGAAAACTGAAAGTTACTTGAATTCATCCACTCTCTAGCAAATAGCTTGGGAGAGCAGAAAGAGCATAGATAGGTTGCAAGTTCAAATTCAGTTTCCAAATTCTGCAACCTCGGTAATCTATTAACCTCTCCAATACTCAGTTTCCTCATATTAAAATGAGAATAGTACCTCCCTCATAGGGTTAAGCACTAAAATGGAAGCTCCACAACAGCAGGGGCTTCATTTTGAGTCCACTGTAAACATACTGAACAGTATTGAACGGTATTGAACAGTGCCTGGCACAGCATAGATGCTCAAATATTTGTTGACTTAATTTGTGAGAAATTGACTGAGATAACACAGGTAAAGTATGTAACAGAATGTCTGCATGTAGCGAACACTGACCAAATGTGAGCCTCCATCATCACCACCATCACTACCATTACTAGTATATCCGTATTATCACATTTACCGGCGGTTGTAGAGCAGCTGCCTTTGGGGAAAGACGCTGATACAAATCTCGAATTCCCCATTTACTGGCTATGTGACTTAGGACAAATTACTTAATCTATTCGGGTTCCTACGGTTCCACAAAAATCTCAAGTGTCGTGAGAAATCACCTAACTCTGAGTCTGCAGTCCCGGCGGCACGCGATACAAGGCGGCTATTATTATTAAGGCAAAAAACCGCCGAGTCCCGTATTTATCCGAGAACTGCCTGCAATTTCCCACATTATTGTATCTGAATACATAGCATGACCGCAAACAAGGAAGGAAGGAAAGAATTTCAAAGAGAACGAAACCGCTAAACGAGAAAAGAGGGAATTAAACCGGTGCATGACAGTTCCCACCAAAGGGTTCCAGTCTCCGCGGCTGTCAACCAGTCCAACCGGCAAAGGCTCGAGCAGGACGGTCAGCTCCGTAAGGAACAAAAAGGAGGCAGAGCCGACGCTTACGCCCTCCCCCTAACGGTCTCTGGGCCGCTGGCCTCAGGCGGCCGCCGGACTCCGGTTTCCGGCCTTCGCAGGACCACACTTCCCAGCATGCCTTTGGAGGGAAGTCTTTCCCGCTGGATGACTACTAATCCCGACATGCCATTCGGCACTCCGGTAAGTTAGATGGAAGAGTGGAATGACCCCATTGCACGCAGGGAATTGTAGTCCATTTAGCTGCTGGCTCTTAGAGGGGCGGGGAAGAGCCGGGTCGCTCTCGTCAGCTGAGGAGAATGATTCATAGAGGAGGGTCAGGAGAGAACAGTTCTGTCTGTGAAAGCACACTTAAGAGGCTGGACTCTTCTCCGAGGGAGGGAGAGGCAGGAGAGCCAGCAGGGCCTCGGGCCTGACTCCCCCCCTCAGGCCGTTCGCCAGGCCTCTACCGAGTCCTGGGCCTTGTCGGGGGTGGCCGCGAGGCGCCGGTTGCTGGGGGGCCGGTGACGTCGCGGGGTGAAAGTTGAGGGGCGGTGACGTCGGGCCTGTCCGGGCGGAGGCTGGCGGGTTGGAGGCAGAGGGAGGGAGGGAAGGAGGGAAGGAAGGAAGCTGGGAAGAAGCGAGCGAGCGAGTGGGGGCGCGAGGCGTTTACCTGGAGGCAGCGGCTTGGGCGCGCAGAGCGGCCGCGGCTCCCCCGCACCTGCGGCCATGGATGAGGAGCGCGCCCTCTACATCGTCCGGGCCGGCGAGGCGGGGGCTATCGAGCGGGTCCTGAGGGATTACAGCGATAAGGTAAAGAGCCCTGGCCTCGGGCGTGCGGTATAGCACCCTCGGGCCGCCCCCCGGGCTTGCACATCGCATCCCTCCCAACCCCCCTCATTCCGGGGATGCGCATTGCTCTCCCCTGAAAGCGTTTCCGCCTTGGGCATGCGTGTTTGTGCCCCCAGCCTTTTCCATCCGTGCATCCTGTATCCCCACCCCCTGCCCCCACCCTAGCGCCCACCCCTCTGATTCCGGCCCAGCAGTGTGTCCCACGGTCCTCTTCCCAAGCGTGCAAGTCACACCCCCGGAATCCGTGAGCGTGCGTCTGTGCCCCTCTCATGGATGCATAAATGCACGCGAGTCCTCCTCACCTGCATAGCTTAAAAATAACGTGTTTCTGTGTATAAACACGGGCCTTGACATGCATAAAACGTATCGGCCACGATGGCAGTTCCTTATATACGTACAGGCCTGTACAGTTTTCAATGCGTGATGTCTTATATATATGGTCCAACTTGATTCTCAGAGAGTTTACAGGGTAGATAGCATCATCCTCCCCATTTTATAGATGAGAAAACCGAGGCACTAGGAACTGAAATCACGCCAAGGTCATGGACATACTATGTTGTAACTGGGGGCAGACTAACTCCTAATAATACCTGTTGTTTGTATCACATTAACAGCTTTCCCATCCATTATCTCCTTCAATCTTGAGAGCAATCCTGTGAGGTTTTATCTGCATTTTGCAATTGAGATTCTAGATCGGTTAAGTAACTTGCCCAAGGTCATACTTCTGAGCTGGGATTCCAACCTAGGTATTATTCTTTCCACTTTACAACTCTGCAGGAAAAAGGTATCTTATATATCCCAGTCACTTCTCTGAATGTCTCTTCAAGCAAGACCCGTTAGCTCTCCATTACTTTACCTTCCAGGAGTTTTATATGCTCACTCTTCAAGGTAACATACCACACCTTTATTCTTCCATTTAGAAGACCACTTTATAGAAATAACTGACTTCTGTGAAAACACACCCAACACCATGTCACACCCTAGATATAACATCTTTCTTCCTTTCATTTGCCTCCATTCATAATTTCCCTTTCTGTGTTTCTGTGTTTGCTGTGTGCCCACCACTGCACTTCCATACACTTTGTATTGTTGAGCTGCCAGTATGCCATTTCTGTTCCGTGTGGAGAAGATAAAAAAAATAAGGCACCTTCACTCCCATTTAGTCTTCCCAACAATCCTATGAGGAAAGTGGTGGTATTCCCATTTCACAAACGATAAAATTTAGGATGATGTCACCTCAAGTCCACAGAGTCATTGAGAGATGGGGCTGAGATTTGAATCTGGGTTTTCTGACTGCTCTTTTAGAGTACCATGCTGCTTTCTTTGGGAGGATGCATGGATTCAGTTCTATTCATATCTTAGCTTCCTCACTTTCTGATACGCTTTACTGTTGCGTATCTGCGTAATTTAGGAGAAATTAATTTAATGCACAGACGTACATATTGTGGAGATTACAGTCATCCCTTGGTATCTGCAGGGGATTGGTTCCAGGACCCTATACCTCCCCCATGGATACCAAAATCCATGGATGCTTAAGTCTCTTATATAAAATGGCATAATACTTGCATATAACCTACACACATCCTCCCTTATAGTTTAAATCATCTCTAGATTACTAATAATACAATGTAAATGCTATGTAAATAGTTGTAAATACAATGCAAATACTTTGTAGCTAGTTGCCAGTTAATTCAAGTTTTGCTTTTTGGAACTTTCTCCAATTTTTTTTCCAAATATTTTTGATCCATGGTTGGTTTGAATTCACGGTTGTGGAACCTGCAGATATGGAGGCCCGACTGTATATTCATTCAACTTGATTTATAATTGCCTTCCAAAAAAGATTTGAGGCAGCTACAAACTGATTTTCAAAAGAAAGAAATACAACAGAAAACTTGGCCATTGTGTTGAATCAAGTAGTGTTTATTTAGCACTTATTATATCCCAGGTATCCAGCGATAAATAGGAACTTTCTTCTGTGCAGAAGGGAGGAGGAAAAAACCTCGAACTGGATCTTATCTCCTCCTTCAATATTTTCTCCTTCCCTTCATGGCTAAACTAATTAGAACTCCAGATTTGCTTCCTCCAGTTTATCTCTTCCTCTCCTTGATCTCCCTCCAGGTTGGTTTCCATTTACCACTCCTGGCTAAGTGCTGTCAGAGCTTAAGTTCTGGACATCCCCACCTCTCCTTTCACATTGGGAATGGCTTTAAAGTTGTAATGCCCAGTGTGTATCATCTGGGGTGGTATTTTGGGGACCACGCTTGAGAATGCTGTGTCTTGACGTGGACCGGCGCGACCAGCTCCTTCAGAGAAGAGCTCTCATGTTTAATGCTGATTATAGTAGGTCCAGAGTACAAAGAAAATAGCTGAGTTTTATGTTGGCAGTGGGGCATTGCCCCTCAAGGCAGGAGACACTAGAGGCAGATGAAGAAGAAGGGGAAGCATGAGTGCAGTGGTCTGGCAGTAAGAATGGGGAGGTGGAATTAAATTGCCCTGCTCTATGGGAAATGGAGTCTGAAACCCTGAAAAAGCACCTGGTTATTACCATGTGCCTCATTTTCCTTATCTGGAAGCATGGATTTGGGAAATGTTTAAGAGTGAAGTGATTATGGGGCATTGAGGAGTCTAACCAAGAAGGGAAATGAATGATGTAGAGAGAGAATGATTGGTTCATCGTTCTCAAAAGAAGGCAGCAAGTATAATGGAAAGAAGGTGGAATTTGGAGTCAGATAAATCTTGGTTCAGATCTGCCATTTATTAGTGTCATGACTATGGACAAGTTATTTTAAGGCTGAGTCCCAGTTTCCTTATCTGTAACATAGGGTTCTATCACCTAAGTTATTATGAGACCTGAATTAAGTGAAGTATAATGCTGAACGCTGTGCATAATGCATGTAGGAGGCATTCACTAATGGTCAAGGTGCTCAAGAGGTCCTGCGGCAAGAGCACGGGTTCTGGAGCCAGACTGCCTGAACTCTGATCCCCGGCTTACCATCCGCGTGGCATAGAGCAAGGTACTTAACTTTGCTGTGTCTCAGTTTCCTCATCTGCCAAACAGAGATAATAATAGTACCCACATCATAGGTTTGTTGTCAGGATTAAATCACTTATATGTGTAAATCATTTAGAACAGTGCCTGGCACTGAAGAAAAACCCATAACTGTTAGTTTTGAACAAAAAAAAGTCAGGAATTAAGCATGTGGCATGGAGTTGACATAGCCTGATAAAAAAAAAATTAGAGAATATACTCCATTCTTTCTCTTTTTTCCTTGACCCGTGCACTTTTTAATGGTTAGCAAAATACCTTGTACCATGTTTAAAGTAACATTTACCCGTCTGGCTCCAGGTAACATCTAATGTCTACTGTGTTAAGGAGATTCTAATTTTCAAGATTTCTTCCTTCATTTACTGACCCTTCTTGTCTTGGGGAGAAGGAAGATCTATCTATCCTAGAAAAAAATGAAACTTGTCTGTTTCTCAAGGGCATAATGCAAGTTGACTCAGCATAGGAAAGTATTTTTTAAAGATAGGAAGAGTGGTTGTTCTTTTTCACTTTCAGTTCATCTAATAGCATTTATTGAGTGCCTGCTATGTACTATGTATTATCCTACGTGCTTTCACATGTCATCACATATTAAAACTTATGAGGGTGACTGAAGTATTCTCCCTTTTTTTCGGGACTAGGAAATTGAGGTTCAGAAAGACAAAGTAACTGTCTACAGGCCTTAGGGCACATAGCTAGAAGTGGCAGACCTAGCCTTCGATTCAATATCCAGGGCTCTTTTTGCAAGGCCCTGTTGGCTTTCCACTGTCTATTCTGTGTTATTGAGCACAGAAGAGAAAGGGTTTTCAGGACGATTTCCTTTGGCTACTGTTGGGTCGCAGTCACCCCACTCCAGTAATAGAATGAGCTATTAATGTGGGAAGTATATATTGCTCTAGTCTAGGCTGTCCAAGCTTCTTCTCCTCCCCTAGGGCTTGTTCTGCTAACAGATTTAGTAGAGAGATTGGTTGGCATCATTATGATTATCAACAACAAACAGTGATCAAGAGCCTTGAGGGTGCATAGTAGTATCTTAGTTCCTTGAATCCAGGGTATTTAGACAAGAAGGAACCTCAAAGATAATTGGGTCCAACACTCTCAATTAATAGGAGAAGAAACTGAGGCCTAGCATCATCATCAACTATGTTGATAACCAGAGAGGTGGCTTGGTGGCCATAGAGGCCACCTAGACATATGATTACCCCTTAGCAAGCTCCAGTAGGATTCCATTATGGAAGTGTGGTGAGTTTATGGCCAAATGAAAGGTAAAAGTTATTTAAGATACAGACAGGCATGTAGGTCTCTGAGAGTAGTCCTCATAAGAGAGGAAAACAACACTGATAGCAGTGAGGTCTTTATTTATGTGCTAGAAGAACCTGATTGATAGGGACCTAATATTGGGACAGTTCTAGAAGTACAGCCTCCACATTTGAATAGGATATATAAATATCCTGGACTATGTAAGAGGACTTTCTGTTTTACACTTTGAGGTTGCTTCTGAATGGATTGGCATATTCTAAATTCAATTTGTACTGCCTCACAATACCAGTATATTTGCTAATTAAATTAAGCCCTCATGTTAGTTAGGGCTTTTGAAAGCTTGCTTTCCTTCCTTCCTTTATTTCTTTTTTTTTTTTTAAATGTTGCGATTTTGTAACAGGATCAGCCTTGCATTTAAAAAGAAAAATAAAAATTAGTCCTTGATACTATTCTAAATTATCACCTTGAGAGATTTAATTCTATGTAGAAACCTTTTAAAAGATATTTTTATAACTTAACAAGGGGCTTTCCAAAAGACGATTTCTTTTTCTGTTCCCTTACCATAAATGCAAAAAAAAAAAAAAGTTTAGGAGAACTATTACATTGGCAACTAGGTACATTTATTCCAGATAATGTGTGGAATTAATATTTCACATATAATGGCAAAAATTAAGTTTCTTGTTTCTAAGTGCAATTATGTGTTTTCATTTGTAGTGAACCTTTACTAAGCTTCAGTTTATAACCATACAATCTAATAATTCTTGATCTTTTATTCAATGTTAGTTTTTACTAAACCTTGGGTCTGTAGATTCCTAAGTTATAGTCTTTGTTGTTTCTTCCTTTTCTTCTTTTCTTTCTTTCCTTGCTCATTCATTAGTCTATTTACCTTTTATATAAAATTTTTCTTTTAATTGTAAAAATAATATACCAACAATGAGTTTTGTCAAAGGAATCACCAGCAATTCCACCAACCCTATATAGTTGTTTTTATTTTTGCATTTTAACACTCAAGCCTTTGTTTGAAATCATCCATACATTTATGTAGGTACTGTCATCATAGACATACAGTTTGATGTTTTACTATTTTTCCACTTACTGCCATCAGAAATAATTTTTCATGTTGTTATAGAACTTTTTAACCATTTTTTTTTTTTTTTTTTTTTGCGGTACGTGGGCCTCTCACTGTTGTGGCTTCTCCCGTTGCGGAGCACAGGCTCCGGACGCGCAGGCTCAGCGGCCATGGCTCACGGGCCCAGCCGCTCCGCGGCATGTGGGATCTTCCCGGACCGGGGCACGAACCCGTGTCCCCTGCATCGGCAGGCGGACTCTCAACCACTGCGCCACCAGGGAAGCCCTAGCCATATTTTTTAAAAACTGGCAGTATAATACTCTCTCAGATGAATGGACAGTGATTTATTTCATCAGTCTCCTATTGTTGGATATTCAGGTTGTCTCTTTTTTTTCTTCCATAATACTCGATAACACTGCAGTGAATATGATTACATATATAATTTTTCTCTCCCCTGGATGATCTCATTAGGATAAATTTCTAGCAGTAAAAGTTCTGGGTTAAAGGCTGTGAATATTTTTATGGTTTCTATTAGGTGCTGCCAAATCACTTTCATTTTTGAAGTTGGTGTCAATTTGTACTGCCTCCAGCAATATCACTCCTGGATTATTGATGCCCATTTCTCAGAGGGCTTTATATCCTCAGTCTTGCTCTTCTTTGATCTGGCCTGTAAACTACCACCCAAAATATTCTTCCAGAATGAGTTCACACCTCCTTCAGAGTCTTCCCCTGGTTGCCTGTCACCTATATGCCAATTCAGGTATACATTTTTAAATCCAAGGCCTTACCACCTGACATCCATTTTAATTGTTTTGCAAACGGTATGTGAGGCAGCTTCTCTTAGGTTTCCTCAAATGGCCCTTCTCTATTACCTCTAAGTCTTCCCTGTGACCATTTCTTACTTTCAGAACTGGTTCTCTGTCAACATTTCTCCATCTCATTTAATTTCAAAAATTGCTTCTTCTGCGAAGCTGTCAATGCAGAGCCACCTGTAATGATGATATCTTTAGTACTTACTGTGTTTAACTCCTGGTGGGTTGCCATGTTGCCAATGAGAAATACAAAGGAAAGGCAGAGAGAGATGTTCAGTAAAGATTTTTTTAAATGAAAACTTAGGATCCATAAGAGCACTTGGTTCTCTTGAATAAAACTTGAGAAGAGATTGAGGAACTTTATGCTCTATTTTTTGGGTACCATCACTCTCTGGCAGTGGACAGCTCAACTTACTCCATTCTCTGTTTCAGCTACAGAGTGGAAAATATAGTGTTGCCAGTCATTTCAGGAGAGTCATGACATTCTTTTCTTTCAAATATTTTTCCTCAATATCATTGGCATCATCATTATTATCATCCTAATAGTTACTGAGTGTTTACTATCTTCCAGGCACTGAGATGGTACATTATATGTCGTAGCTGTTTTAACCCTCATGGCAGCTTTGTGAACTAGGTACCCCCTCTTTTCACATGGGAAATACAGTTATAATTTGTTACTTGCTTAACAAGTGGTGGAGTCACGATTTAAACCCTCGTTCTTACAGAATTACTTTTATGAAATGCCAGTCTATCAATTTCTTCCCTATCTACAATTCTCTGGTGATTTCTTATTGCATATGATAAAGAAAGTACAAACTCCTCAGCAACATTGGAAGATCCTTCCAAATCTCTGTCCGGTCTACTTTCCCATTCTCATCTTTCTCCACTCCTCTCATCCCCTAACATGTGTCCTGTGTTTCTCTCTGACAGAGCTGCTTATTTTACAAATACATCATACCACTTCACAGATGAGCCTTTGTTTCCATCCCTAGAATGCTTTCCATTTGCCTGGCAAACTCCTATTCATCCCTCAAGGTCCAGCTCAAATGTTCTGTACTATATGCAAAGAATTCCAGATTTCCCTCGGTAGTTAGTGGCTCAGTACTATGTCTCTTCTGTATATCTTTTTGCTTTAGTCTTTTGTACTGCTTTACAATTATTTGCTTACATGCCTCTCTTACTTTAATAAGAACTTTGAGACATGATATGGGAAGACAACTTTTTTATAGACATTAGGTATTTTTAAACATAGCAAAATCAAAAATCTGTGTATTTAAAATGACGCTGTTTCCCTTTTTTCTCTCTTCAGCATAGGGCTACTTTCAAATTTGAATCAACAGATGAAGATAAAAGAAAGGTAAGCCTTGGTGTTACTCTGTATGTGTGTGTGTGTGTGTGTGTCTGTATGTGTATGTATTTCATTCATGGACTTGATAAACAGTGGACTTGATTTCATCTGATAGTTTACTTTTCAGTTTCCCTTCAGTTTGGTTTTTAGAAACTCTGAGAATAAAGACAAGTGCCAGGTTTAGTATGGATTACACATAACACCCTCCTGCTCCATCCCCATAGGACCATTACATTTGCATAAATCAGGGGAATGGGAAGGGTTCAGAGGGGACTCCCATCCATATCTTCTCATCTCCAGCGATTAACTTTGTTTGGTGGCAGGACTGCAGGCTGCCAAAAATGCATTGCTAATATTGTAATATTGGGTTTATAGTAAAGCTTGGCTTTGGGTTAAGTTGTGGAAAAACAGCTATTCATGCAGCTGCCCCTCAACCACATACTGTTCCCTGCACTGGCAGTTATTTATGTTGTCAGCAGTTGTCTTGGTCACTGACTTCATGGGCAAAGAGGAAAATGGGGTCAAGAGGCTTAGGAATAGAGGAGTTATTATGAGAGGGTGCATCAGAGATAGAGCTATGAAGTGTCATGTTGGCCTGTTGGGGTCGCCCGTGGTTGCTTTACTTAGTTGATTAGAGCATGATGCTCAAGGAGAAGCTCACCAGTTCTGCCTGTCTGTTTGCTGGGCCCTATACTGCTATCCCCGGCCTCACAAATGCTAAGACCAGGTAAGAGCATGACTGAATCTGTGTAAACGTATTGTTGCTGCTAGAGAAATAGCTTGAATCTGGTGCTTTGCTGGTAGTGATTTGATCATACCTTGAAATCATCCCTCTATTCACCTCCACCCCCATATTTACTGTCTACATCCTGCTCACTTTGCCTCTTAAGATTTCTCAGTACATTCTCTCCTTAACCCCGGCCCTAGTTCAGTCCTTCATCTGGATTACTGTACCAGTTTCCTAACTATCCCTGCTTTTTCCAGTTATATGTCCTTTCAGTCCATTGTCCATAATTCTGTAACAACAATCTGACTGTGTGATGCCCCCTTGAGTAACTTTCTTTGTCTATAGAATAAAGTTCAAGCTTCTTAACATGACCTAGATGCTCAGTGATCTGAAGTTTGCCTACTTTTTGCAGCCTATTGGTTGCTTCTCTCCCTTGTAATTTATGCTCTAGCAATATGAAATATTTCCAGTTACATACACATACACATCCCTTCTGTTTCCTACTTCCTACCTTTGCATATACTGGCGGTATGTACCAAAATTACAGATGTGTTTTGCCCTTTGACCAGGCAGTGTCACTTTTAGATCTATTCTGTGGACAGATTGAAATAAAGTAAACAAAGTTATTCACTGAAGCATTGTACATAGTAGCAGACGATTGGAAACAATAAAGCCTCCAGCAATTAGGGAATATTTGCAGAAACTTGCATACATTTGCATAATGGAATATTGTGCTGTGGTAAAGAGGGAGGAAGAGGGAGAAGGAGAAAGACTGTTATGTGCTAATGGGAGAGATAGTTACATGAAAAGAAAAAAGAAACAAGGTGTTAAAAAGAACATGTTTTTAATATACTCATGATAGGTATTCAGGCTAGGAAGGCAGCTGCTATTTGGTTTAGTTGGGAGGATCCGTACTATATAGATTCTGTGGTGCCTTGTAAATCTGACACTAGAATCTTTGGTAGTGCTTTTACTGGTCAAAATAAGTGCATGAAGACAGAGATCCCCCCCACGCCATATGACTTTCAGTTAAGGGGAAAAAAATTTCCCACACAGTTATTAATAAAGAATGTTTGTTTCCTGTAGGATAATCGCAAAACCTAACATTTTCCAAGTATTTTACTGCCTTTTAAATCTTTGGTGACAGTAACTACTGTACTAGTGTTACTTTCAGTATTACGTGTAGATTGCTGCTTCCTGGGAGGTCTGATATAAACAAATGTCATTAGGGACCTAGCTAGGTAATCTTCATTAATGGAAAAACATTGGCAAACGAAACTATTTCAGTCTCCAAGGGTTAAAACCATTAGAGACTCTTCATGCCTAAGTCCCTAAAAGACTTTGAAATCAAAATTATTGGACTTCTCTAAAGGCTCTACATCCTAACCGCCTTTTAAGTTCCCAGTGTAGAGAGGCATGGAATAGTAGGCATGTCTCCAACATTAAACCCAATCTTAAAATAAGAGGAACTCAAATTACCATCCAGTTTGTTTTGCTGCCCTAGTTCTCTTTTTCTTTCCTAAACATGTCTCTGGAGCCTTCTACCAGCAGCTCCTTGGTAACAGCAGCGCCCCTTTCAATAAACTACAGGTGCTGTTGCTCTGAAAAACACACCTCTCTTATGTAAAACCTTGTGGCAACCTATAAGTAAATGTAAGGAAATAGAGCCTTTCAAAAAATAAAACTTGATTATACGAACTTTGTAGGAATTGGTTATAAGGTAATGATCCTTAGACCTAAGTCCTAACGCGCAGCATTTTGCATTTTTAGAAAGATTTGCTTTTCATTAGTAATACAGTAATGTTGTAAGCATGGTGAGAATATCACCATCCCAGTTTTATGGATAAGAAAACTGAGGCTTATGTTAATGACAACTTGTTAACACTCATATCACTCGTAAGTGGTGGAGCCTCGAATAGAGAACAGGTTTTCTGGCTATTGTGTGCAGCTCCTTCACTGCTCAGTGCTCCATGGCTCCCACTCATTACCACTTGAGGTATATCTCAGATGGTTTGAAATTATGACTCAGTACCTTGTTTTATCCCTTATTTCATACCTTGAGACACCATTTAGGCAACTAGACTTAAACTGGAAAATATCAAAGGAAATTACCAACTAGGAATGCTTAAATTTTTCCAGAGAAGTAAAGTCAGATACAATTGCTAATGTTTGTGCATAGAATGCAAATAGTTCCAGGTGCATGTGGCTCATGATATATTTGGGTATAAGCACCTGTGCTTATTGAAGCGTTTGCTTTACATCTTCTCTACCTCAGTTGGTGGCTGTGATTATCTACCAGCACATAAACACATATACCATGCAAATATGTAGGATGGAGGGAGGTATGATGAATAATCTGAAAATTTACAGCTTGAGGAAATGAAAGCTCTTATATTGGTTTCTAAAATACAACTGATCTCAAGGCCAATAAAGAGAACTAATTGCAATAAATGTTGAAAAATACTGTCATAAAATGATTAAAAGAATTGCAGCTCTTTCACCTGTAAGATAAGAATACAACCATATTAAATGCAGAAAACTTCACTTGTTGTCTGAGATAAACCTTTATGTATTTAGTAATTTTCCTCAAAAGAGTGAAGTTAAAAATAAATTTCAAGCTTTTATTTCATTAACTTCAAACTCACATAGGTAAGCTCATACTTCTGTGAAGGCAGAGAGTAATTACTGAGTTGAGAACTCTTTGAGGACGAAAATTCTGGCTTACTTTTCTTTGTATTTTCAGTCCCCAGCACTGCATGTGGCACAAAATAGGCACCTACAATAAACACCTGTTAAATGAATAAAGGGGACTTGGAGCTTGAGTGGAGGCCAGAATTCCTATAACTTGTACATATGGTTTGGTTTTGAGTTTGATATTCTCTTAACTAGAGAGCAGAATCTCAAGCACATTTCATAATGTTATTTACTGAAAAAGCAGAATACAAAAGTATTCATACAGAATGATCACAACCATGTAAAACTAATAAAAACTATGCAAAGAAGAATGTCTACAAGGAAATTCACTAAAACAGTGGCTTAGCATTATTACTGTGGATGATATTTTAATTTCTCTTTTCTGTATTTTGAACTTTTCTGTTATAGTAAATGATAATGATATAAGAATATGATAATTACATATTATATGTGATAATATATTCTTTTATAGTAGTGTGATTGGGGGCATAAGCAAAGACCAATATACTTTTTAATCATTTATTTTCTTTAAAATTGGGCCTTTGTGATTATCTTACACATTCCTTTTGGGGGAACATAAAAATGTTACTAGGTTTGGAGGTAGTATCACTTGTGGAGCCAGTTTATGGAGTGAAATAAATTTATTTGAACACAAAAGTCCATTCTACCATTTGAAATATTTCTTCTTTTTACTCTTTTTCCCCAAAGTTGGATGTACTTGGCATATTAGTAGAGATCTCTGTAGTCCACAAATATTTTTTCAGTAATTCCTGTGTGCCAGGTCCTGCGTTAGGCCTTAGTTCCTAAGTTGGCTATTTTCCTATGGTGTTTGGTTTGGTGCTTTCTCAGCTATGGATGCATACTGAGGGTTGCCATTGTGGACTATAGAAAATGAACGGGTAATTTTCCATATTAGAGTCCCCCAAGGAAAATATGCCAAGATAGAACCATCAATCCTATACTGTGAATCCATGCTTAGGAATAGCTTGAGGCACGGATGCTTGTTCTGAAAGCCTTTTACACTTAGTTTAGTTATTTGAAATTGTTAAACTCCAGTTTTCACTACAACAAAATGAGCTTTGTGTGTCTTGCAAATTTGACTCAAATTTTATTTGATATCTTCACCTTAGGGAATACTTTGATATATGATGCAAGTACAATTCTCATTTAGAAACCAATAACTTTAAAAGATAATCCTTTTTAACATCTTGATTTCTTTAAAACACACAAACACACACACTACCAAAAGCGTTCTAAAACTTTTACTTTTTAAAGTTTCTGTCCAGCTGGATCTGGCATAAAACTTGACTAGAAGGCTGAATTATATCATAGGCCAGGATGAATGCCTCACAGTAGTTCAGAAATGAAACAATTTAAACTTCATTTCAGACTCCATTTTTTATTTTAGATGTTTTGCCAAGGTATTGAAGGACTAAATGTGGGAAGAAAACAGAACAGCCCTTCTGATTTAGTAAGCCATAGATGTGGCAGTCCATACATGATCTCTGTATGGATCACTTTTTAGGATTTCTGCCTGGGAATGTTAAGAGTAGTATCTCTGATTTACACTTTAGAGTTTCGGATCCTT